AATAATATATTTATTAACTTAAATTAAAAAACCTAGCAAAAAACTTGTAATATTGAAAAACTGGCCTTCTAATTTTCGGCCTATTTATGCAACATATCCGGCCGTGTATAAAGTAGGCCATGATACAGCTAACAATATTTTAGATGATGTAACATTACCAAACATTGGCATGGTATCTTTTTCATCGTTCAGTAATATTACTGCAGTGATTACTGATTAATGATCGTGCAGTGATTACTTTTTCTTGTAATTTCAAGCATCTTAAGGTAACAAGATATAGATGGTTGGGATATGGTTACTCCATTTTCTTGAAGCTGTCTGGACATTCCACCCTGCGTAAATGAATTGTTGTCTTTTCCATTTTTTTGTAGTAGGTTAAAACAATATATATATATATAGCATGAGAATTAGAGCTTTGCTTGGGGCCACCTTTTTGTAGTAGGTTAAAACAATCACTAAGATTACTCTTAGTTGATATTACAGCCTGCCATTTTCTAATGGTGGATACTCCCATATCAGTAGCATTGGCAATTTGAACTATACTTTCCCCTCTCTCCATTCTTATTTTTATTTGTTTTAATTAATGTACATGAAATTGGTACTCTTTTTTTCCTTCTTGTATTTCTGACAGGTTCATTTTCATTAAAACTATTTTCCATGGAGCTAAAATAACCAAAAGTATATTTAAAATAATGATTTTCTGGTGGTATTAATGGATGAATATATCATTGATTTTAAAAAAATTAAATTATATACAAACTATATGTTATAATATATAGATATACAGACTTGAAACTGAGTTAAGAGAAAAACAAAATATAAATAAATTAGCAAATGAAACTTTTATTGTGAATCGAACTTTAATTTGTAATTATAATAGTTAATTATACTTTTATTGTGAATCAAACTTTAATTTGTAATTATAATAGTTAATTATAATAGTAATCTCAGTTTAAAGAGTAGTAAACATTCAGAAGATTCAAATAGGATATTTTCGACACCAATTAATGAAGGTTGTCCTGATGCAATATTGTTGTGTTGGTATACCAATGCAACATCTTTAAATAACAAAATAGATGAAGTTAGAAGTCTGTGTGAAACTTATAACCCTGATTTTTTTTGTTTTACAGAATCGTGGTTTAATTCAAACTCTGACGTTTATATTAAAATCTATACATTATATAACGTTGTATTAAAAATATATAGAAATATTTATTTTAAAGATACTTTAACATCGAACGAGATAAGCATTAATGAAGGAGATAATGCACCCAAGCAAATATGGATAAATGTTAAAGTTGGTCGAAACAACATAGTCTTTGGTTGTATTTACAGACCTCCAAACCCACTTAATAAAAATGAGAGAATAAACAACAAAATTATTAAATCAATAAATACAGCAACTTATTGGTTCGGCAAAAGCAGTTCTCAAATTTAATAATAGTCAGAGATTTTAATCACAATTCAATATCAAGGTCTAGTGAGAGAGTATCAAACTCAAACAAGCAGACAAATTTATTAGTTGTTTGGCGGAAAACTTTTTGCTCCAAATAATAGAAGAACCAATTTTTCAAAAATTTAAGAGAAATTAACAAATATTTCAGATCTATTGATTGTTGACAATAAAAATTGAGTTAAAAATATCGGCCAATTACCATCGTTAGGCAATGAAATCCAAGATCATCACATAACTAAATGGAACCTTTTAATAAAAGAAAGTTAACTTAAATGTTGGATTAAAATGTTTATAAAGCTAGAAATTATGACAAAATAAAGAATTATTTCATTAAATAAGATTGGGAATTTATATTTGCAAATATGAAAATCAATGAAGCTTTTTGGAAAAAATAAACTTCAACAATCCCTTATTAAGAATAGAACAAGAATTTCAAAAGTACAAACAGTTTGCAGCTCTTATTATATTTGCAGAAATGACTAAGGTTTCTCGTGTCACAATATATAAACTTGCTAAACATTGCCATGCACTTGCCATACATTTGTTCCATTAATACACAAATCAAGATCATTATTAATATGGCTGAGCCACTATTTTTACTCTGTAAAAAAAAATATAATAATAACAAGTGTTAAAATTTTTAAAAATAAAACAATATTGAAAAATGAAGTTCACTAATAAAAATTTACAAGATTGTTGATTATAAAAGAAATGCGAAACTTTTTCATGATATTTTTAAATCAATTTTCTAAACTATAACTTAAATTTTCTTAGAATTTCTCAACTTATAATTTTATTACAATTATTACCATTATTATTCCTGTTTATAATTATAGAACAAAATGACTAGTCCTAGAAAATCTAGTTTCTGAAAATTAATAAAAATTAATTTTTTTTACCTAGTAATTTACCAGTAATTTCTGTTACATTATTTTAAATATCAGGTTTTTGCCATGTTCCTATTCCTATTAATTTATACTCCTAATAAGTAGTTATTAGGTAAATTTTGTATTTACATATCCAGTTTAAAAAACCAATATTAGCACTGTAAATATTCATAGTAAAATTGCAATATTAATATATGTATAATGTTTACAACAAATTTTTGCAGCAGTAAGTTCTTCACTCTTTAAATCGATAATTAAAAATGAAGGATGAAATTTTTAAACTTAGCGATGTTTTTAAATTTCTTCTTGGGCCAGTTCAATCAGGCCCTGCAGTGCGCTTTTTTGTCCTACTTAAAAGCTTAACAAATCCTGCGCATGCATCAAAAATTATATTACTTAAATAGGGCCAGTAAAAATCAACCTAGCTGTTTTTAGCAATTAATTAAAACAACACTACAATACTTTAAATAAATTGTAAATAAATATATTACTCATAAGTTAAATAATTTAAAATTAGAACTAACTAAGAACTATTTATATTTATAAAACCTGTCTGCAAATAATTTAGGCTAACAGTTGCACATTTGCATAAATATATAAACATATATTTACATTAACAAATATTTTAAATAAATAAAGGTAGAGCCGAGCTCCAATAGCCCCTATTGACAAGCTGCCACTGAAGATAATTATTCTTATAACTCCTCTTGATTTGATAATTAAATACTTAATGTCATAACATATTCATTTTTTTTTGGTCTCATTATAAAAATAACCATTATAGGTATATTCTCAAATAGAACATTGATTGATTTAGATCATGCATGCATAAAGACCCTGAACTTTGCAGCGTACTTCAGCAAGATTATCTTTAACAGGTTTGTGAAGCACAACTCTAATTTGTGAATAGCCATTTGCATTATTGGCAAATATTATAGTCTTCAAAACCAGCGCATTAAACTGTTTTTGAAGGTAGATATGCTATTTTCTCCTTTTCAAAACTTTGAACACAACATCTTATCTGGTTAAATAAACATAAATAGCTCTTCAATAAAGTTAAAAAAACAGCACTCAAACAACTCTCAGCTACAATCACTCCTACCAAATTTAAAGAATGTCCAGCACAAGGTATCCAAGTTGCTAGATTATTCTGTTCTTTAACTTCTGTTTGCATATAATTTTACATTCCATTCAATGCTATGGCATTGCTATATGGCTGCCACATCAATACTTAATGTAGATTTTATGTAAAATTAGAAATTCTAAAAGGTCATTAAATATATCTTGCACTTATGTCCCTGATTGGTCATGAATGTTACAAATCTTTCAATAAATAATATCTTTTCCTTAAGCGCAAAATTAGCACCAACTTTTCACAAATTGTGGATCATAAATCCAAATTCAACAACCAGCATTAAGCTGCTAATGCAAAAAGGAGCCATTAACCAATCAGTGTTGAGATACTAACATAAAAATTAAGAAATTAAATTCCATTTTTATATAGACTTAATATTAAGTACTTACAAACATAGGGTTTAAAATGTTTTCAATATTATGTGGGAGTCTTTTGAATGTAGAGCCCTAGGCTTAGGCACAAAAAACCCTATGAAAAATCTGACACTATTTCATGCAAGTGTAATTCAAAAAAAAAAAATTGGTTTAAAATATTACACTCATTATGACAAAAAAATAAATTTCAATAAAAAAAAAACTTGTAGCTTTTCTTAAAGAACTGCAAAGCCATTTTTGCATATTGAAAGTAAAAGTATTTCATTGTATAAAGAAATACTTCTTGATAATTAGTTTTAATTTCTTTGAACCTTAAAAAAGGAAAAGAAAAAAAGTTGTCAAATAGCGTCTTTCCCTCACCATCCAAAAATGTTACTTAAAATGTTAATTTTAAAATTCAAATAAGGAAATTTTTTTTGAACTCTTTGTTAAGATTATGTTTAATACAACTACAAGTTAAAAATATATTTGATACAAAAAAACATAAAAAGTAAATTGCCTTTATAGGAAACATTAAAAATTATAACAACCCCTCATTTTTATCATGAGAAATAATAAAATGGTCACATTCAAAAGTTTAATGTTGCTACCTTAATATTTGTTGAAATTCAACAAAAATAAAATTTTATGCTGTTGTAAAAATTTTCTTTTGAATCCAAATACAAACCTTTTTTCTAATTATTAGAAGAGAGGTTATACATAGAGACATGTGAAATCCCATACTCATGTATTCAACTTGAATACAAGAGTATGTGAAATTCCATACTCATGGATTCAAGTTGAATACATAAGTATGTAAAATCCCATACTTATGTATTCAAGAATACATGAGTATGGGATTTCACATGTCCCTATGTATAACCTCTCTTCTAATAATCAGGAAAGAGGTTTGTATTCAGAAGAAGATTTTTACAACAGCATAAAATTTTATTTATATATAACTAAAATTTTATGCTGTTACAGATGGCTATTATATAAGTCAAACTGCTTAATATGTTAAAGATAATTAAAATTAATATATTAAAGTTAAAGATATTTGAATTTGTGTTATATCAATTACAAATTCAAATATAAATATAACTTATATATATATAAATGTAACTTTATAAATTACAAACAGAAAAAAATTCATCAAAAAAAATCTCCACCTTTAAGTTTTCAATACTGCAAACATCTTCAAGCTCTTCTATGGTCTGTTGATTACAATTTAGAAGCTCTCCTAATTTTTTATTAGATTCTTCATTGGACAAAATGATTGGCGGAAAAAAATCTTCACATAAAAGTTCTTTAAACTGATTTTTGAAATCAGGTATAGATATTAAAGGAGATGAAAAATGTTCTGCTTCCAATATAGGATTGCTTCTAAAAAAGCCCTCCATTTTATGTTTAGTAAATTAGTTCTTTTTTAAAAAAATAAAAGTTATAAAAAATAAAACACACGATTTATGTCATATTATCAAATAGTAGTTTAACTAAACGGACCTAATGTGTCAATTTTGCTCAAATCCAATATGAGCGAATAAGCTACCACTTTAGCTAATGTGGTAGCTCCTTTGCTTCCATCGGATTTAAACAAAAATTAGAGCTAGTTAGAGCTCGACGAAAACCATTAGAAACAATATATTCAATTGGAGAGAAATAAACTCGTATTCTATTTTATATATTCTAATTTTAGTCAACCAGTAAATAGATAGAAGCTAGATAATAAATTTGATTAACAAGCAACATTAATCAACTCAAACTTTATTAAAGTTTGTGTTGATTAAATGTGTTTTTTTAAGTCTTTAAAAAACGAATATTTTTTTTTTTTAATAAATGTTTCATTTTGACGGCAAATAATATATAAAAAAAATAAATAAAATTTTATGAAAAAAAAGTTCAATTTTTTTATTTTATTATAATTAACTTTAACTTTATTTCACAAAGAAAGAAAGGATATATAAAAAGGCAGGGATAAGCCTAGTTTTTGGTATCCATCCAGTCGGATGGATACAAAAAGCCTAGTTTTTGGTATCCATCCAGACGGAGTCACGCGACTATTTCGCGAAATTAAAAGTAGCCATATAGAATTGGAGGAAAACAAACTATTTCTTTCTAACACAGAATGTTAAGAAAACATTATTTAACAATAACTTTATGTCCTACAATTACTTTAAAAGTCAATCAAAAGAAACAGCGAATGTCTGCAAAATATATATACCTTTAAGGTGATTTTCCTTTTATTTTATATACTTTTAGATCTCTGTTTAAATAAAATAACGCCTTACATTGCTGTCTACATACTATTTGGTTATTTAAAGGTATAAAAAGTACTGATATTTTGATATTTATTTACCAGTACCAGTAATAATGTGTGCTGAACAAACATAAATATTACAAGATTTTAGGAAATGCTTGCTTGCTACAAGCAGTATTATCTACAGGACGATTTATCGTATTCAACCACTTTAATATATTCGTAGGTTTCAAGTGTGAGGCGAGAGTGTTTTAAAAAAAATCCCCAAATTCTCTAATTTGGCCATTAGAGATAAATAGTCGAACTTTACCCACTGTATCTAAACAAGGTCTAAATTTTCCGATTAAGCAACTGTCATTAAATGTCTAAATTCGAATTGTTAGTATCTTTTCAGGATTTACAAACAAGTATTTTATATTCTTATATTTTAAAATATAGTTGTCTAAAACTTTGATACTTATACCAAATATTATGGTATGCAAGTAACATTTACTAAACTATAATTACTTCTTGGCTGTTGAAATAGTTGTTAAAAATCAATCCAATCAACTTTTAAGAAAGTAATTTGTTAAACTGCAGCTTTTAAAAACTTTCAAACCACATGATAAAATTTCCTTTTTTCAAATCGCTAAGCAGTGATTATAACTTACCGATGAAATAATTATAATATAAACACTGTAACTCTATTTAAACCTACTTTCTGCCTTATGTTCTTTCTTACTTTAGCTTGCCTAATATACCTCTTTGAATTGATATAAGTCTAGGACACTTTTTGACATTTTTTCTCCAATGGACATAGTAATTAAAATGAGATTTTTTAAACCTTCAAAAGACGTTAAAAAACGTGAAAATAATTTGCAGAAAAATACTATGTTTTTAAAAGTAATAATATAATAGATAAGCAATTAACTATCAAAAATTAAAAGAATAATTTTATTGTTATCTTAGAGATGTCAAAAAAACTAAGCGGTACTCAGTTTAAAAAAGAAGAAAGAAGAAAATGACGTTCTAATAAAAGTTGGTCGAATTTTTTAAAACTGAAAAAAAAATTTAATCTTAACACAAATTCTTAAGACAAATTCGAGACTAATATTACTGCTTCTTCACTCAAAGCATTTTAAACAGCAACGGAAGTTCTTTCACAAATTTGTTGCATTGATGTAGAAATAGACTCCCTAAAGATTCAGATGACCGCAATAAAAACACGGGTATCAACAAGAAATATTACAATAAATATATTGGATGTATAAAAATAAGAAGAGATTAGTTGTGTTATTCAACAACAAAAAATTTTTGTTACAGTCAACAGTCTTGGGTTTTGTGATAAAACTAACTGAAATTTAAGATTCGTAAGAGGAACATTTGATTGGTTGCGTTAAACAAGAAGTATTGAAAAACACAAAGAATCAAACCAACGTGGAATTTCTTGCAAGATTTACTTTAGATGGAAAACTGATTTAGAAATAGATATTCAGTAAGAACTTAATAGTACTGTAGATTATTGTCACAAAGTCTTGCAATATATAGTATATGTAGCTTTAACGTTTGCTATAAATAATTTACCATTTCAAGCCCATAGGATTACGGGCAATATAAAGCCTTAAGATGTAGGAATTTTACACCGATATTTCCTACATATAATAAAATTACTTTCTAACTGCAACGCTATCTTAGCCCATTTTTTAATGAAACCTAAGGCCAAACCAATTACCTGAGTCCGAACATTCAAAACGAACTAATTAATTTGATTGCTGATGAAATTAATATCCATATTAAAAGGAAATTAAAGGAGGCCGCATTCGTAACAATAATAACAGATACAACGCAAGATCTATCAAAAATCGAAAAGCATATTCCATTATATTTGATGAAAATGAAAAAAACAGCAAAGATTGTAAATGAAAGGAACTTTTTGTGGATTTACTCATGTAACTGATCAAACATCACAAAGATTAGAAATAACAGCCTTAAAAATTATAGATAAATTTACCAATCTATCAAAAGCACGTGGTCAAGGTTACAAAGAGGCTACAATATGAATGGTAGCTATCCAGGTTTACAAGCATGAATTAGAAAACGAACAATTTTTAATAATTATTTTGATAATAGTACAAACTAAATTACTAGAACCTATATTTATAGTCTCAAAAATAATGTAGGACCGACGTTTAGGTATAGAGAAATCCTTTGAGATGCTTTCATCTTTCATAACCCATTTCATACTTTGAAGAATAATTGGGATTTTGTTAAAATCGATGCCATTGTGTTACCATCTCTGAGGAATATTGAATCATCTTTTTCCAAAAAATCTACGTGATGAATTACAAAAGATGAACACATTGAAAAAACAGAACAACGTTTCAAAGTTAACGTGTATTATAAAGTAATGGATATAATAATTAATTAATTAAGTGTTACAATCGATATTTTGATGCATTGACATTTGCTTCTATAAGCCAAATTGCTATTTTACTTTTAATTCACACGGCAGCCTCAAGGCAGCTTCTTTGACAACATTGCAGCAAGCCTCATTTTTTTAACTTTACCTATCACGATAGCTACAGCAGAACGAAGTTTTTCGAAACTAAAATTAATAAAAACATATTTAAGAAGCAGCATGTCACAATATCGCCATAGTTCTTTGGCCACAATATTAATTGAGAAAGCAAAAACTTTGCCAACTTATTTTTAATAAATTGATTAACCAATTTTCAAAGGAAAAAGCAAGAAAAAAATTTTTTAACTATAAACTAATTACGTGCTAGAAATTAAAAAAGCCTTTAAATTGTGAATAAACTTAAGTTTGTAATAAATTGTTATTAAGTAGATTAAAATAAAAATCATAGAGCTTATATACAAATAAAGAAATAAAACAACAATTGTTTTGTCCAGATTAGAAGAATGTAAACATTTACGGAAACACTAATTTGACGATAACTTCGACACAACTGAAATAGGACAACAACTTGATATAATTGTACGATCCCCTGATCGTACGAATATAACTAATTATCGCTCTATTTCAGTTCTTCCTATTTTTTAAAAAAATTCAGAAAGAATAATGTATAACCGAATCTATTCTTATCTTATTGAAAATAAAATACTATAGGAAAACCAAAATAGTTTAAAAAAAAATAATTCAACCAAGCATGCCATTCTTTAAACTCTTCATCGAGCTCATAACTTGAGTCATACTGACTCTTTTAAAAACTTCTTGTTTTAGACTTGTCTAAATCCTGTTAAAAAACTGATATCATAGAGTATTAAAAATAAATACCTAATATGTTTCATAAGTTATCTATTTATGAAAATAACATGTGGTTTTCCACAAGGATAGGTACTTGGTCAATTATTTTTTAATATACATAAATGATCTTCATAAATCATACAAACTTAAGAACAATAGATTTTGCAGATGTCACAAATTTTTTTAGTCTGATAAAGATATTAATATTCTTTTTACTAATATGACAATGAATTTAAAAAAGTTTCTGTTTCGTTTAAGCAAAATTTAGCGAAACAGAAACTTTTTTTAATTCATTTGTCCATTTTTCTCTGTAAATATAGAAAAAACTAAATGGAAATTCAAGTATCCTTTTAGTTTTTTCTATATTTAGAGATTGTCTCTAAATATAGAAAAAACTAAATAGACACTTTTTTATTCACCTTCAAAAAACAGAAACTGCCCCATATCATGCGCGGACCTTTTAATTGATAATATAATAGTAAAAAGAGAAAAGATTTTAAATTTTCTCCGAGTATATATTGATGAAAAGCTTGGAGAAATCAAATTGATAATACCTCCAATAAAATTGCTAAATGCATCAGAATTCTCTAAAAAAGCAAGAAATATATTAAGTAAACACCAATTATATTATTCAGTAATGAATTGTCATATAAACTACGCAAATATTATTTACGCGAAAGCACTTATAGAATAAAGCTAAAATTACTTTACTTTCATCAAAAACACGCCGCTCGCGTAATAAATTAAAAAAAAAAAAAATTTCATACTATTTTATGGTTCATATTTAAATGTAGGGAAATTTTGTCGCCAAATGTATAGCAAAATCTTTATTATTTGAAACCTAAAAACAAATATAATCTTCGAATTAATAACAGTCTTATTGCCCCTTTTTGTCATAAAGCAAAGAAGTTTTTTGTTTCGTACCGAGGAACCATAGGACCTTATCTCTAAAACAAAATAATCTTACCAAATTTTGATTTTT